TATTATTTTTTTATAATAAAATATAAATATATAATATTTTAAAGTTTAAATAAAAATGGGTGTGGCGACCTAGTGAAGTGAATAGGTTGTCAACCCTCAAGTGGCAGGTCTAAGGTTCAATTCCCATAGATGATGAATTTTGGAAATTATACCTGTATTATGATAACTGTCTCTTGCCAATCGGTTGAGTTTTGGGCATCTGTAATCTTAGGTACACCAAGTCGGGCCCCACCTGACATTGGAAGCTTGGGGCATCTATGCAAAGTATAACATTACATGGTACATGTACATAGAGGAATGTAAAACCAGTGTTATATAAGGCTTTGTGCAAACCCATGATAAGACCACCAGGCATAGAAGGTTAAGAAACCGAAGAGACGGAAACTCACTTGGAAATTCCAAGTAAAGAGGTAGCACAAACATTCGATGGTACTATTGGACTGACGGAAGCCTATGAAACACCTTCATAGGAACTGTCGGATAAACAGATAACAAAGATGTGTAAAGGAGCACATAACCAACCAAACTGTCAAAATCGCTGAAGGAAAAGGATATATAAGTATACCATACCGGGCTATCTGGATTGAAAGTCTGGGGAAGTCAATTGTTAGTTCCAAGTTGCAGCTAGTAGAAGATGATGAAGAAGAAGTCGGAAAGATAGGTACTAGGGTTTGGGTGAACTTTACATGGGTAATAGTGATTTAAGGGGTAACCCTGACTGCAAGTGTTAGCCCTGATCATAATGTCAAACCAGATTAGCAGTAAAAGGGAATACAGCTCACTCTGATAGGTTTACCTCAAGGATAAAAATAGTCTAAGGATTATAGCTTTATAGTCAAATATAAATAGATCTGAGTCTGTGATCTGGTAAAATTAATACTAGGGTTAGATCAGAAAATTTAAATAGAACATCTAAGCAGGGGTGTTAGGTATAGCAACTGGTAAGGAACCCTTGGGCGGACTCTTTAAATAGGTAATATAGAAAAGTTACACATGTAGCCAGTTGTACACTTGTCTAATAGTTCATTATAGATACATCTATATAAAACATATACCTGCTATAAGTATTAATAAAAAGCTCAGACCAAAGAGGTCACCTTAATACTAAAAAAAAAAAAAAAATTTAAAAATCTAGGCAAATTTGCCTAGAATACAGTTTAAGAAATAAGAACTATTTTTAATATCATTAATAGTTTGATTTGTATTATATAAGTGTCGATGAATTGCAATTTTAACTATTGTCCAGATTAGCTCAAAAACTGTATATATTGTATAATAATTTGAACTTTTTTTTAAAGTTTCCAAATATCAAATACCAAGTTGTAATGTTATATTAAAAATTTTGTAACTAGAAAAAGCTGCAATTAAGACTTAGCATATATCTTTTGAAGTATACTACTGTTTAAGAATAATATTAATAATAAGATTTTTATTTTTATAATTTTTAAGTCTTCAAAAAATAGTTTTATCATATGTGATATTGATCATAGTAACTCTTATACTTGATACATTATCTAAAAACATATTGTATACCTTATATATATTTTTATTAAAATTTGATGTTAGCTTAGATTTTAGAATTACTATCTTTAGTTTATCAAAATTACATTCTATTTGAACAGTTTCAATAACTTTTAGATAAATATCACTAATCTTAAAATTTTTTTTTTTTAAAAACAGTTTTTCAAAAATTTGATTACAATTTTTATTTAAATTTTTTGTGATTATAATAATCTGATTACAACTTAGTTAACTGTTCAGAAAAAAATATTGAAGTATTAAGCAAATTTGAAGAAAGTTTAAACTAAAATATTATTTGTAGAATGACATATATGATACATTGTATAGTATTGTAAATATTTTTATATGCAAATGTTTTTCTTTTATATTGATATTATTAATAACTGACAAATTATAAATATTATTTGTAGTTTTAAGTCTATTAATAGAATTAACACATTTTATGTGTCATCTTTTTGTATGAACTTCATGATCTCAAGAATAAGAAATTATATATATAGAATAAAGAATTTAATAAAACTTTAAAATCATATATGAACATTTACAAAACAAGCTTAAAACATAAAGTAACCAAATCTTTTAATGACAAAAAACAATTCCTATTATAATTGATACTAAGAATGTTGTAATTTTGTTAATTAATATTAAATTTAATTAATAATCTGCCAGTCATCTGGACAAAGATCATAATGTAACATGATGCAGATCATTATATAATTTACTATAGAGTGAAATGCAACATGCACCTATCTAAAACTTTTTTTAGTACTAAGTTAACAGTTCACATTTATTAATTAAAAATTGTAGAACTTACTAAGATGCATCTAATAATAATTAGATCATCCAAATCAGTTTAGTAGATGTCAGGATATTATCAAAAAATGCTTACCAATTATATAAAATTCTATATATAAAAAATAATCTGTTTGCATAGTATTTTACATAGTCAGCCAAATGTTTTTTGACAATATCTTAACATCTACTAGACTGATTTGATGTTCTAACTACCATTAGATGCACCTCAATAAGCTCTACAACTTTCAATTAATAGACATGAACTATTAACTTAGTATCAAAAAAAGTTTTAGATAGGTGCATGCTACATTTCATTTTATAGTAAATTATATAGTGATCTGCATCATGTTACACTATGAATATTTTGATTGATATATTCAAATTACTATCAGCTACAAAATATATATATAGTAATTGTTATAATCGGTTATTGTTATTATTTTTTTTATGCTTAGCGCAATTGATGATGCCAGTTCTACCATAAAATCCCGACATCTAAAATCTCAAAAATTATAATCCCGACATCACGCGGCGTAACAATTAATATTTAAAGATTAGTAATCACATTAACAATCATTGTCAGACTTTAAATCTTAATTGTCGCATTGCGTGATGTCGAGATTATGGATTTCGAGATTTTGGATGTTGTTATTTTTTGGTAGAACCGATGATGCCACATAAATCACATATCCGGGGGGGTTTTTTTTGTGGTTACATTGTACGTAGTAGTTCATCATACTGCATATCAATACTTATACTAATCCTGATTAAATATGCACATAGATCTGATTAAACTTGGATGGATAGAAACGTTTTGTCGCAAACCTAGCTAATAACTGAACAGTTATTGGACCAGTCATTTGACCGGTTATATGACCGGTTATATGACAGGTCAATAACTGCGGTCGGTCTGTTATGAGTCAATGACCGCCAATAACCGACCGATAACCGACCGTGACCGACCGGACCCACCCCTACCTTTAACACAAAAAAAAAAAAGTTTTATATGAAAATTTCAAAATACCATATAAAACTATATAAAAATAATCTACGTACCCTCTACCCTTAACTGCTAATTGGCTAGTGTAACTCCAAGTGCGTTTCTGGATTACATCTTTAAACACACATAAGAATTCCAAACCATAAAAAGAATTGAAAAATTGTGCGATAAAAAAGAAGCCTAGTTATAATGTAATGGAGATGAAAGCAGCGTTAAATATTAATTGCTCTGCCATTGCAATGTGTGACTTAAGTAGAGAACCGACAAAAATTGGATAGTTACAAGTCAAAATCCAGGAAAAAAATCCCAAAACTTGGCGATAAGTCAACAAATGATTAGTAATCAATATGACAGTATTAACTAATCATCTACATACACAGAATATTATATCATTGACACCACACGACGTGATAATTAAATTTTAAGATTTTAGTTTCCAGGATTTTGACCTGTAACCATTTGTAATACAAAATCAAAAAAAAAGGAATTTTAGTGTAAAAAGCAACTAAACATGTAAAAGTGAAATTTAAGGCTGGGCGTTAGTGTTAGAGGATATCGATATAGTAACAAATCGTTATTTAACTTCATATCCGACATTTTAAAGGTCGATTTAAACATTAGCTTTCGATTATTTTCGTTTTTTTGTTCAACCGCTTGTGCTGTTTCTTTTTCAGCGTTATACGGTCAGACCTCCCTAAATGTAACCCCAAGTTCCGGCCCAAATATATTTCCGACCCCATAAATGCAATTTTCCCTAAAAGTTGCATTTAGGTAGAATTCATTACGCCTGATCTTGAAATTTGATTGGTCAGGATAGGGTACAATTTTTTTGTTAGCTCACCGGATTCCCAATTAGGCAAAAAAATTGAATCCCATAATTACTTACCTTCCCTTTTCAGTCATTAGCTTGTTATTTTTCATTCCTTGTGAACAAAAAAAAACGAGAACAAAAAGTTCGGGATCGATGATTGTTTTATAAGATATCGGTTCGCGCGTTCCCGTTCTCGAGACCATTGTTGGATTTATTCAGTATTTTAAAGGATTCTTTTATAAATTTATAGGATTTTTTTATCAGGAATAAAGCCATACAATATACATAGTCTTGAGATTAAAATTAGGGAATACATCTCATTGTATTAGCTGTGTAGACAAATACATGATAATTGTGCTGATTTGATATTTAATTTAAATATTTCGGAAGGCTTACGTACACATTTTAAATCCACCAAATACGTAAACAAAAGTCATTTTGCATGGAATGCTAAATATTTAAATAAAAAGTTCGCGCAGTGTAAAGAATATTAATTTTATAAAAGATTTCATTATTTATATATAGCCTATATTTTCTTTGAGAAAATCATTCAAGTGTTGATAAAGTAGATTTAGGCTTAATATTATAGCTTTTTTGTAAAGTTTTAAAACGCGTAATTTTTTACACCCATTAAAGTCTTGTTGAAGTGATGTTACAAACTCGCATGTTCGGGTAATTAGAAAAGAACTCGCTCTATTAGAATTTATCATTAGCTTGTTCAGAATTTGTGTATACGCTAAAATGTAATGTCATTCAGCTTTTATGAAATTGTAAATCCATTAATTTTCTGGAACGCTATAAATTTAATTGTTAAAAAGATAATTTATATCATGTGCTCTCGCAATCATATATTTAATTCCGCTATAACATTATTTACTCATCCCTATATCCCAGCCCATATTTTTCGGGTTCTAGCAATTCGTCAGCAACTCCTTTAACAATATTTGATAATTCTTTAGTAACTTGTTCTTTATCATTTCCTGATAACTCAAAGTAATATTTTATTTTTGGCTCTGTACCACTACATTAAAAAAAAAGTACTAATTCAGCTAAGATTCAGGAGATTAAAGTCACTGAAGCTTAAAAAAACATGAACCTGGTTCTTAAAGTTCCAATGCATCCATTTTCCAGACCAAATGTAATCATCTGACTACTTTTTGACACTGGCAATGTTGGTTGATTACTAGTTTTCGAGGTATCGTAACCAATCGTCAAGTCTCTAACATAAGTAATTTTATGGTCTGCCAAGGTTTTAGGATATGAAAGCTTATATTCATATAGATACTAAGTTATAGAACAAATAAATGTTAAATTAATCTATTAATAATATGTAAGTTATGAGATGGATACTTGCATTAAGTTCGGTCGACTTTATCTAAAATAATAAATTATTTAGTAGTACTCTATTGTTAATAATTGAATCGGAATCGCATAAGAAACAAGTATACGCATTACCGGATTTTCACCGTACCGAATTTTATCAAAAATCTTATTGATTGTAGTTGAAGAATGACAAATAAAATAAGAGTTTTCTGTTACAAAATATCCATACCTAATAATGAAATATATGTGAACATCATATCAGCCATAACATAAAAATGATAGATAATAAAGGGGCAGTAGAAAAGGGAACACACTACTTCTAGAAAGAAACTTTAAACTACTAAACAAATTTGATAAATAAAATTATTGTCGTACTGAAGCTGATAAACGGGAGTATCAATTAAAATATAAACCCTACTAAAATCCACTTAGAGTTAATACCTGGATCCAGACTTAACAATGATATCAGGACTTAGACGTAATATTATCCCTATATATCTGAATCCGATATAACATCTATATCCGGATCTAATTGTTTAATCCGGATTTAACAATTATAGTTGTTTTCAAATTCTGGGACGACTGATAAAACTCGATGCTATCGGATTACTATAATGACGAAAATCCAATTCAGATAACAACGAATTCAAAAACTTATCGAATTCAGCAGATCAAATCTTTATCAGTTGTCCCAGAATTTATGAGAGCAGCTATAAATCCGGAGTTAACAATTAAATCCGGATCTAATATTCAATTCTGATCCAAGTACTAGCTCTAGTACTTCTAAATCTAAATCCTAACCTAACTATAAAAAATGCACCTCAAAAAATTTAAACATTTCATATCAAAAATAAGCTTTAGCCGCAGCATTCATCAAATTTTGTTTAATCACGGAAATATTTTAGTTTAAAATCTATTTAAACAACATTTACCCCTTTTCTATTGACTCTCATATATAACCATTAGATTAGATGTATATATCAACATACTTTTTGTATAATTCATCTAAATACTCTGAAATCTTCATTTTTCGTTTATCTAATTGTACAATCAATTCTGCAAAAGCTCCTAAAGCACTTATGCCATCCTTGTCTTTAACAGTATCTCCAATCATGAATCCAATTGCCTCTTCATAAGCAAATAATACATCATACCCATTGTTTATCAAATCAATCGCTACATTGCCTAACCATTTAAATCCTGTTAAAGTTTCTTCGAAATAAAATCCTTCAATCTTTGCAATTCTGGCCAACATTTTAGATGATACAGCAGTTGATAACATTGCTAGTTTTTCTGAAATTTTTATAAACTCATTAATATGTTCTAGCTTTATAAAACTACTAATAAAACTCAATGCTCACCAAGTGGTTTGCCACTAGCCCTATAATTATTTAATACAGCAGATGCAAGCATCACACCTATTTGATTGCCCGAAAATATTGTCCATTCACCACTATTGCCATATTGTAAAAAGTTCGTTACTGTCTTACTAAACTGTTAGTTATTAATCAAGAAGATGAAGATTTGTGACTAACTTTTTTTGCTTTTCCGAAACTGAAAACCTATCAGCGTCAGGATCGTTCGCAAATATGACATATGCCCCAACTTCATTTGCTGTTTTCATGGCGAGTGCCTAAACCAAACATATAATATCTAAAATATATCATAAATTAATCTTATTTATAAACTAAAAGAAATTAATAACATACCAATGTTCCTATAACTCTGTTGAATTAATACAAAAAATTAAGTTTGAAAGATTTGCATGAGATAAATTAGTATGTGGCTACCTTTTCCTTCTTCTGGATTAGGAAATGTTACTGTTGGAAAGTCTGGATCTGGATCCGTCTGTTCCTTGGTAAGGATAAGTGGTTTTAAAGCGAATGTTTCAAATATTCTTTTTGCCGCTAGGGTTCCAACTCCATGCAAGGCTGTGTAAACAAATTTTAGATTTGATGCTGCGTTATCTTCTCTAATGTAATAAAATCCCACCAAAATTAATGTACGGTATAAAACATAAATATTATATAAATAAAATCAGGTTATTACCGGTAGTATGACAATACCTTCAACTCTTCAAAATAAGCATCAGAAATTTCTTTTATATTATCGATACACAATTTGCTATTATCGACAACATTAGGGTCCCATATCCAGGGTTCAAGATTATTATTAATTGCATCACTGACACCTTTGTCATGTGGTGGGATGATCTAAAGATTGTGGTAAACATAAATATAATAACATAGTGAAATGACGGTATACAGTCTACCCTCACTATAACAGACCCCATTATAGCGGATGCCTCTGGAACAATTTAAAGGTATTATTATTATATTATATAATGCTATAGTGGATATCCATAATAACGGGCCAAATTTTCCAGCCCGACCACTGCGTTATAACAAGGTAGACTGTATATAAATTCAATAAAAACGAATCATTGCATACCTGGCATGCATTTTCCCAATATCTTTTTTTATGAAATAAATTGTATACAAATAAAAAAAATTCAAATGTAAAAAATTCTTTATATAACTCCATTAATACCTACACTTTATAACCATTATCTTGCTTAGGGTTCTAATAAATTTGTGATACATTTCATCAGAAAAGCACATATTTAAAAATCATGAATAAGCAAATACCAACGTGTGAAGCAGTGATCATAATCCCACAGGCGGCTTTTAATTTCTTGACACCATAAGGCTAAAAATAGTAACCTTTAATGAGCAATTAGTTAAAGCAAATCCTAACTTATTAAATAGACTAATGAGAACCTACCACCAGTGGAGTATGAACTAACTTATGATAAAAATAAACTTTAACCCCTTTTGATAAAAACACAGCTGCACTTAATCTTGCAAATGTTTCTGAATTATGCCTATGATCATGTCCAATCACAACACCTTTAGCAATTGCATTTTGTATAGTGTCAAGAAGGTACATGCAAAGTCCCTAAAATAAGATTTAAATAATTAAAGGTTAAAAGTAAGAAGTTATATAAATAAGTTATATAAATAAGTTAAGACATGATAATACCTGTGAAGCCTGAATTACAGTGAGGTCATTCATCCTTGCAAATCCAGCTTCCATACTAGATCGCAATCCTATTTAGTTTATTAATGTTAATATTAAAAAAAACCGATTAAATTTGACATATATAAATTCAACCACTAAAAACCTTACCAGCAGTGCCAAACGATATCCTATTGCGAAGACGTTTTTCCAATTCCTCAACATTACCCTCGGCATAAAGTTTATCTATTTCTAAGCGTGTTACAGGATTCTTTGATACAGATAGAAATAGTCCAAATCGTTAATGCAATTTAATAATTTAGTGAAGGAAACGCTAATGATAGGCAACCTTGTCTAAGCGAAGCCATTCTTTAACAAGAAAATCGATTGATACCATTGTCCAGCAGTGTGACTGAATTATTGAATATAAAGGATATTGAGTTGTCTAAATACAAGTTTCGTAGTTAGGGATGTTAAATCCAGGTAGGAACGTCCCGGGTGCCCCGATTTTGCAGATCGTTACACAATTAATTAAAGATTTTTTATACACGTTTTACAATACTTTTCTCGGAAGCTCGGGTGACTTAATTCACAAGTAAAGGGGGACAAGTGCACTAAGCAAATTTGTAGCTTTCGCTTAATCATATAACATATTCACTTAATCTAACTTAATCCAACAGCTTTCATATTCAATCTACTTAACAAAGTTATGTTAAAATTACTAAATGTAAAGAATGTGAAGCCACTAAATCTCGTAGATTCCATCCATTAAAGAACGAAAAATGGAAGCAGGCTGAAACAAACGGCTTAACAAAGGTATCGTGAGAAGAGGGTAATATGTTATGCAACTTGTGTTATATGAATTTAGTAGAAAATCTGTTACAAAAACTTAAAAAAAAAATTACTAAACGAGTAAAAGTTTCTGTTGAAGAAGCAGAAAATTTAAATAGTAACGAAGTAAAAGCTACAGTTAGAGAAAAAGGTATAAATCAAGATATAGAAACTGTAATGGAAGACATAGAGGATGTAAATATGATTGATTTTATTGAGATTATTGTAATTATAACAAGAACCTTTTATGAAAAAGAACATGTAAAAAAAAAAGATCTTATATATTTATACAATGAATTGAGAAAATTATTTCAAGCAGATAAGAATCTTAATAATTCTCTTGATCAATTTTATTTGGTAGCCAAGTTCCTTAAGCATAGTAAAAAAACCATGAACTATATAAAAAAATTAATCATTTACATTTGTTATCTTCTTTTGTTATTTTTTTATTATTATTATTATTTTTTTGTATTAAAGATCATACTTTGTAACAAAACTTTATTGATGTTTATTAGAGGTAGTTATTACAACTATTTTATACAGAGATAAGAATACAACTAGTTATATATATAACTTTTAGTTACTTATTTAAATAATTTACTTTAGAGTTTTTTACTAAATGTTATATTTACAAATTAGTAGAAGATTATTTATTTAAACTTTCTGATTATCCATTTTTATCATGATATAACATCAACTAGCCTCTTATATATACCTAACCAGTGTACCATCTGAACAGTATGCTACCTACTTTTTTTGTACTGATTCTTAAGTTGTTACATATTTTAGAATATAACACCTATCAATAAGATGCAATAAATTTATCTTGTTAACTACTTACCCACTTTACAGATCATTATAAAGGTTACTCTTGCAGAGTTCACCCAGATCCTAGCATTGACTTTACAACATATCCTTAATATTTTTAGTATATCTTTGCTTTGGTTCTTAAACTTCTAATTTAGATAGTCTAGAAGAACTATAATCTGTTCTTGGTATATTAAGTTTAGTCTAATATTTTTTTTAGTCTAAAATCTGGTAGCCTAGTTAGTGGTACCTCTCATTCAAGGTTTTTATTTGCTTGATTTCTCTATATTGGTATTCTAGATCTAGTCTTTATAATAGTACTGTCAAAGATCTATACTACTTTTCTACTTGGTATTTCTAAATAAGCTCTGGTTTTTATTAGTTCTACAAATTTATATAATCACAAGAACTTATCTTAAGTTTGCATTATTCAGTACTGGTTTGTATTTCTTTGTATAATCAAGATTATACAGATGCTCTATGACCTGCCAGTTATGCTAATATGATCATAATTACAAATATCTTATCTCAATTAATTGACAGAATGCTATTATCATCATACTGTTTATATATTATATAGATGATTATTCAAATTTTCATTGTTGATAGTTTTGAACTTATAATCTACTATTTGGAGGCTTGACAACTTATTCATTTTACTAAATTACTATATTCTTTCTTTTGTTATTAAATAATACAAAAATTAATTTCTTTAAATTCAATATAGTATATTATTTAAATTTTGTAAATATAAATAATAAGAGATTAAATATGATAGCAACTTAAAGTATAACTACAACATTAAAAGCAGTAAATAAAAGAGAAAAAGAAAACATTAGATGTTTATAATAAATATATTAAGAATGTATTTTTAAAATTTTTTAAAAATGCTTTTATACTGAATATTAATGATTACTATAATATTTATATTTTATAACAATTTGATTTTACCAATATATTACATCTAATGCATATAGCAATTATTATAGCAAATTTATGTCTTATACTAGCAATATTGCATAACAGAGCATTCAATTCAAAATTTATTAATAATGAACTAATCATAAAATATCTTAATAAACATTTTATAATAAATCTTAATATTTCTTATTACAAAAAAAGAACTCTCTTCAATGATCACTTGTACCGAATTTTATACCAACAAAAACAGAAAACTTATTGGAAAAAGCAGAAGAGGCTACTATATAAATAACAGTTTTTATAAAAGTCAAAATGGTTCTTCTACACTGGACTCCTTTATATATTTAGCAAGCAAACTAAAAGCACACATATACAAGATAACTAACAGGAGGTGCCCTTGTATAACAAATTTTAGTAGAAGTTTTAGCTTCTGTTAATGAAGTTAAAATAGTAAGTTTTATAGGAAAACAATAAGCAAGTTTTTAACACATTCACTAGAAATTCAAGGATACCTGCTAACTGAACACCACTACCATATTTCTTGCTTAGTTTTTTGACAGAAGTTTTTACAAGAAGTGGAAATTTAGCGTACTCCTTATGAAATATCTATAGAAATTGTCCATTTTGGGAATAGGAGAATCATTCCTTTTCTGGAACTAGAAGTAACTCTAATCAGAGTGAAAAGGTCAGCTGTAGAACTGGTGAGAAAGAAATTAAACACTGACATCTCTATCATCAAATAATATTTATATATAGTATAGACCTATTTCTAAAATAGAGACTAGAAGTAACAGTACTATATAATTTTTACAATTTGCTCTGGCTGAAGCTTCAGCTCTCTTTTTGTTTTTTTTTTTTTCTTACTATTATGTATTTGTTTTATTGTTTTGTTTTGATTAGGGTTTTGTTTGTTTACTTTTGGTTTTTTTAGTTATTTTTATATTTGTATTTAATTTTATAATACCCCTCTTTTTTCGGCCCTTTGAGAAGAAGGAAGAATTTAAAGGAAAGATTGAAGACAGTTAATGCTTGTCCTAGAAAATCCTTTCTGGTACAGCTTTAAGTAGCCAGATAAGCAGTCTACCTCTGATTGAGGTAGTGCAGCAAGTCATACTTAGATACTAATAAGGTGGTCAGGTGATGCTAAACTTAGTTATTAGGAAAATTCTATGTAGTTATTATATATAGTTGCAAAAATCTTAATAAAGTACTAATGTGACTGCTTAAGAGCAAAAAAATATATATATATATTTCTTATTATAAACATATACAAAACTGCATAGATAATTGTTCTAATAATAAACTTATAAAAAGATTAACTTTGTACAGTTATAATAACAGGTTAGTAGAAAAAAAAATAATCAATATATACAGAATATTATTTTTTTTAATTTTATCAAAAATAATCTAAAATGTATAAAAAAAAATTATATAAAAGCTTTTCAAATTGTGTATAACCAAGAATTAATATAACAATATCTTTTTAACTATGTAATTTCCATTATTACAAATTGGTTGAGTTAGTTTTTTATTTGTAAAACTATTATACATTAGCTTCTTTTCAATAATAAAGTTATTTTTTCTATTTATTACATCATTTATATCTATAATAGAACCTTTTTATATGTCTTTAAATAGTTGTAAACTTGTTTTTTTAAAAAATTTGTTTCTATTCAATAATATTTATAAAGATATTTTTTTAAAAAAAAGCTTAGTAAAAAGCCACAATCATAATAGGTTAACTTAATTTTTTAATTTATATATATAATATGGCTTAATATTTCTGATAATGTTTATTTAAAATTTGATCATATATACAAAAATATTAAATTTTTATATTTAACTAATTTTTTGAGTAATTTAATTCTCTTAGTACTTGATGTTTATACAATGCATTATTAAGAAGAAAACTAGCAAGTTTATAAAGAAGCATGCAAAAATTGCTAAAGTAATCTTTCTTTTTAATTTAATTAAAGAAATTATAAAGTACTCTTTATTATTTTTTTCTAATATTTTTTTTTAGAGAGTTACTAAACATCTAATAATGAATATTGTTATTAATCATCTTGTATTTTTAAGTGATTGTTTAATAAAAACTATTTATAGTATAATTTGATGATATATATCTAAGTTTTTTATAACAAATCAATTACAAAAAGATGTGTATTTTATATTTTAAAACTAAAAAAATAATATATTTTATTAATATTTTATAAATTCTATAAAATATTTATACAAACTGAAGCAATTATACATTTTATTCTGAAAGTATATTATAATACTTTTAAAGATGTTTACAAAAATATATTAAGAACATTATTTGTATTCTTTGATTAATAATTCATCTCAAGATAATATTTATACATATACTACCTTTTTTAAATTATGTTATAACTGATCATCATTTTTTAAAAGGTTTTATTACTGCATAAAAACTATTTACAAATATTTTATATAATTATCAATATTGTAATTGTACTAACTATACTAACTGTTTGAATAATGATAAAGTGTAATTTTAAATATTTAATATGTTATAAAATAATAAAGCTAATAGCCTTGTAAAAAAAAGAGCAATAAGTAAAAAAATAATATATATAGAAGAAGTTAGTTGCAAAAAGATAAAGTACTGCTTAAAGTAGAAAAATAAATAAATAGATATATTAACAAGACTTCTATATAAGCTAACAACAAATGCCAAACTAGGTGCAGAGTAGAGATAAACAACAGTGATCAAGAGTCTAGAACTAGTAACAAAAATAATGATCTATAATTAAACATATTTTTGGAAAAAACTGAAGTTAATCAAAGGAATATACTGCATAACAAGAAGTAGCA